AAGCCTCCGCTGGCCAGAAAGCTTACTTCCGCTGAAGAATATGTTCTAGAAAGGTTTCAGGAATTTTCTATCTTTATAAGTATATAAAACATATTTAATAGATTATTTTCTTTATTACCGCCATACATAATCATGTATATATGTTACGTAATTACAAGTGTCCGTCTTGTCGATTCTTATATCAATTCTTGGATGAAAAATGAAAAAAAAAAAGTAATTTAGTACAAACAAAAAGTAATTTATACGAACACTTTTATATGAAAACAGGAATATGAAAACGTACCACCTTAATTCGGAGAATATTTATACTTTTAGATGTTATCTTAATGGATTTTACTGTTAATTGTTATATTTTTACCTATGGATTTGCTTGAAATACACCCCGGACTTGAACCTAGGTATAGAATCATTTTTTTTATTGAAAAATGTCTACCTAGGTTCACGTTTGAGACGTCTTTCAAGCAAATCCATAGATAAAAATCGATATATTCTTTTCTTATTTCAAAATCCCTCTTTTCAACCTGGGATTTCCTTTTTTTTTAGATTTTTAGGTCGTTTAATAAAAGACCGGAAACCGCAGCAAATAGCAGAGGCTCCGCACTTCCTGTAACTGTATTGATGGCCATAGAATCCATAACGTTCAATATCCTTACTTGTGACAAGCATTGGTGTCGTAAAATTGCTTCAGGACGTGAAATTAAATGATGTCAAATGATATAAAAAATACGGAGATAGTTTTCAACAGTTAAGTTTGAATTTCAAAAACCTTTTCCACGCTAGCATGGAAACACGTTTTTGTGCGCAGATTTCTATTGAGAAAGAAAGCCTTTCCGAGTTAGTGAGGTGAAAAATTAATTTATTTGCGAAGTATCATTAATTAATAAAGAATACCAACACTGATATATATTTCCAGTAGAATAAATGCTTTTTTTGTATTATTCATTTAGGTCTATTAAAAATGGAAACGGACAAATGTCTTGTTTGTTGGCGATCTAAACATCTGCCGTCTTTCATTTGCATGACAACAATTTCGTGTCAATAAATATTCCTCCGTTTAAGAAATTATTGTTGATTGGTTCACGAGTTCACAATATGGATGACCTTTCCGACTGATCCAGAACAGAGTAAGTACTAATATTGTACAATTTTAATCGTAAAACAGAAGGCCTATTCAAAATCAAGTATGTTTACTTGATTACTTACATTTTATTTAATTGATAGTCACTTGACGCAATCCTTTTAACGCCTCGACATTTGTCCGTCTTATATAATTTTTAGAGCATTTTTCGGACTAGAAATGACACTAGCTAATAAGGATTTCAATTGAAAGAAGCATACGCATAGGCGGTGAAATGTTTATATAATTTGTGCATTTTGCATTGTAAAAGTATAGCGACAACAAATTTGAAATATGTCTATTGGTTAGAGGGTGTGGTCGTTTAACCACACAAATAAATGTGATTTTTTTCACAATAACATCCATGTTGTGAATATAGATAATTCAGAATCAAATCAAAGCAGTAAGAAGATAGATTTATCAAATTTGTTCAAGTTTTCCACAAAAAATTTTTCTTACAAGAATTTACGAAAAATTCTAAAATTACTTGCTTAATTACATCTGAAAAACACTTCAATGTTCTGTTTGGAAATAAAAACAGATAACTTGCAACCGCAAACATTTTCTGAATTATTCAAAAGTTTTTGAACATAACCGCGGTAATTAACTCAAGGGATTTATATTTACTAGTCGCAGCACAAAAACCGGAACATTGCTCAGCCTAATAATACGCAGGATTTTGAATTAACACAAGTTGTATTAAATTTGCAGGGGAGTTGAGTTTATCTCAACTTAATTACATGCAGTGTATATCAGTCAACAATTTATAAATAAATCGATTATTTTTCCTAAACCATAGTGATGGACTAACTCTGTGTTCAGCAGTCGGTATGGAAGGACATCCAGCTAATAAATTTAATTCGGAAATGAGCCTCTTTGCTCACGTTTCTTCTTGCACCAAGCCGCGCTTGTGCCCTCTTTTTATATAAATAAGTGCGCATTTGACCTCTACCTTACTTGATGGAAAGCGACGATGAAGTCGACGATGGAGCATGCACACTTAAATAATTCCTAGTCACTCTCTTCCTGAAAAGGCCCAAGTTTCGGTCATCTCAATAATCGCTGTGCGGGAAAATGGAAGTGTACACTGAACGGCGCGTTTTTGAAAATAATCTTGACAATTAAACACGAAACAATTATGTGTAAAAAGTCGTGCATGGAGTACTGTTGCCACTTATGGGACGGCCCTGCTAAATACCAACTGGCCACCTTGAATTCAATCGATAAGCGGGTCAAGAGGCTTATAGGTGATTCGGATATAGTAGAGGCAAAGCTGCAGAGCCTGGAACACCGTCGTAAAGTTGCCTGCTTATCGGTATTCTACAGGATATATCACGGAGAGTATTCCACGCAATTGCATGATTTGATTCCGCCTTCCCCTTTCCATCAACGGGGGACTAGACGTGGGCTGGGGCTTCACCCTATGTTGTGGATATTCCCAGGATTCGCATGATGTATTTTACGCGTTTCGCTTCCACAGTTATATGGTGAGCGGCTACGGAATGGAATTCCCTGCCTGCGGACTTTTCTCCGAATGCTATGACATGAACCTTTTGAAAGCGAGAGTGATTTGGGATTATTTAAGTGTGCGTGCTACGTCGTTGACCTCATCGTCACTTTCCATCAAGTAAAATGGAAGTCAGGTGCGCACTTATTTTTTGTATAAAGGAAATCTCGAAGTATTTTTTTATTGCTAACCGGCAGCACTCCTCAAGCTCCATACACCACTGTCCTTACTGAGTGTACAAAGACAGAATTCTAGCAAAGAATATCTTTTAAAGCTGTTCAAGGTGTTAGTCGACTCCCCGGACGGTCGTAAAATGTATATGAGTTGTACTAATTACCATTTCACAGACTACCACGTTAATGACAATTTTAACTATGCCGAACCGTTTTAATTATGACATTTTTAAAATTATAAATTGGTTTTTAAATAATTATTGTTAATTATTATTCAGAACTATATTTTTTAAATTTATGATCATGGAGGTACAGGGTAATTGGTTTGAAGTTTATTAGTTCAAGGGTAAAGGGTCTTTCCCACTTTTACTCTATGAATATAAAGGTATTTCTGACAGCTCGAGTTGAAGTGTAAGTGTGGGGACCCCCTAGTTTAATTAATCAATCAAAAAGGAATAACTTTACTCGGCAAAATATTCGCTGACATGTACAACTTCGTAGAAAACAATAATTCACACAAACTTAATAGCAGAGAAAAAGGAGATATCGTGTAGCAACAAGCTACGCCGCAGACGTAGAGCCGCAATACCGTAGCACGTAGCGCCTTGGCTACTTTTGTAAAAGCTTTTTCCGCGTTTAGCTGTTTTAATTTTGTCTAGAATATTACCCGAAGCTAGGTCACAGAAATAATTAAAACGACTTTTGTATATGCCTAAAATGCACAATAAGAATAGTTTTCACTTTTATGTATCACAACATTACATTTGCGTCAACAAATATTACATTTCAAGGTGCAGGTTTTGTTAGCAAATATTTATAGACGAAATATATAAAAAAAATAAGTTTAATGTAGTATCCCTTCATTAACCGAGCACTGACTCAACTGACTGGTGACAGCCAGGCGGGGTCGCTTCTCAATCGAGCGATCCACGGTTCGAATCCCTATAGCGGCATGTACTTACGACACAGTTACTGAACCAAGTACTATGTTCAGTAGCAATATCTTTCGCTAACGATGAAGGAGAACATCGTGATTAAAACCTGCACTTTAAAGGAGTTTCAGGACTCTTGGAAAAACGTGTGAAGTTCTCAACTCGAATTCAGCCAGCGCATAGCTATTAGTGAGCTACGACCTAAGTCTGTGGAGGAGACCCTTGCCCCGCAGAGGGACGTACGTACGTTGTCGTTAAAATCACTACTGTATTCACTTGTTAATCACCTAAGAGCCTTATCGAGTGCGATGGCGATGCTCTAATAACTATATATCTAAGGACGAATCGATTATCATTTGCCAAGTGCTTTTCTATAACGAACAGGCTCTTCCCGTGGGTGTCGTGAAAGACGATTAGCCGACAAATCCGGGCGATTATCGCTCGCTCTTTGTCGTTCAGCGGATTACTTGTAAGATGCGAATATTAATATAATTATGTGACGTGCGTAGTTCAGCAACGCGTGTTAGCACAGCGATCCGTGGCCTCGATTTGTCCGTTTGCCTTTTCCTGTGCTCGCCATAAGACTGTATCGGGTGCTCCTGTCTTTAATTAAGACTCACTCGTCATCATGATGTGTAACATCTTTCGGATAGTTTATTTAGACCCCGTGCACATCTTCACGTACATGTGAAATGATTCAGACCCTGATAGTATTATTCCTATGATCACGTTAATGTCCAGTGTACATTATTATGAAAATATTGCATTCAAATTTGACCATAATATTATATTCTACATGACTATAGGGTAGACAATTAAAAAAATATGTTTTTCATACAGACCATGGGGATACTTGCTTGAAGCGTGTAATTGTATTTATTGGATGTTTAGCGCTTTTGCCATTGCAATTTGCTGGGTGTTGGGACTTGAAAAAAAATTCAAAAAGTGGTAGATGTGACAAATATCCAGCAGTGTAAACAATACCGTAGTTCGCCCGTAATATAATTTAAACATTCAAAGTTTGCTGTAAAAAACCTAATAGTTTGTAGTTATTTCGTCGGTTATCGCTATGTTGTAGCAGTAGTGTTGTATGCAGTAGCTTAAATGTGACGTTTTCAAGTGTAAATTTATTTTACCTATGGAATAAATAATCTTTGACTTTGTTCCCTAATTGGAACTGTACATTTTGGAACCGGATTTTTGTTCATAATGTTTCGATCATTTTGCTTTATTTTCAACGTTCAAAATGTAATGTGACATGAATTACTTACCGCGATGTTAGTCGATGTAAACTTTTTGTAGACTCGGTGTAACGCCAAGCGTCTAACCGGGAGCGCAACTGGCGCGGTCCCGCCGACTTCGGGTTTATATACCCGCAGCACTGTGCGGGGGCGAAAGGTGGAGCTTACCAGCGCTTGCGTGAACTAGTCCCTCCTCTTTTTGACAGCAAACGTCATCGATGACGTCACGAATTTGTGTAATGATGCTAAAAGGTTGATAGTTCAAGCTCCGCCATAGGTCCCCCATCATTCGTCAAAGCCTACACTAAACGATGTACAGTTGCATATTTGAGTTTTAAAATGTCACTGATTACATTGAACCGATATTATATTGGATTTGTTACGTGGGATCTCGATGATGATAGATCTCGTCACTCGCACCTGACGTGAAGGAGAAACAGGCATTATCGATAAAATAACGACGAAATTAATAGAATGCGGTGAAAATAGTAGTAATAAAGAACCATTGAATGGTTAGAACCTGTTGTGTGTTGACAACGTGTGATGATCGCATTTAACTGTTTCCCTTCATCGTAGAGGCGAGGCAATGACAACATCAACACCTATTTGTACAAAGAGCTGTCAATAATTGAGGGAGTTAGCTTTAGAGCTAGCGACTTTGCTATACAAGGATATACCTATATTTATTTTATTACAATTTGTTTTTTTTTATAACAACAAGCAACGGGACGAACAAGTCTTGTGGCTGATGGTAAACTACACGCCTGTCACGCTTTAAATTGCAAAGATCTGAGGGGCACTACCACTGCGTCCGTCACCTTGAGACATAAGTTGACAAGTCCTATGTGCCTGTAATTTCACCAAAACACTTACCCTTCAAAACTGGAACACAGGACACAGTCGCAAGGAGCTCTACTGCTACTAAATTTGTATTACAATAATATGAATTACATTACAAAACACTTTTAGTGTGAAAAACCCTTGTATTAACAAAGGCCTTCGTTAAATGCGTAGCAGTTCTTAAATGAATGAAAGAGCAATTGATTTTTAAATTACATTGTAATTCGCGGGAAACTTTGTGCTGGCAAAGTCCCAAGCATGTCTGGCATGCATCTTCCAAAAATTCGGCCACGAAATTCGGCCACGGGAACGTGAGGCTTTTGTGTCGGAATAGCTACGTCTACGAAGTAGCATAACGCTATTCCCAGAAAGACAAATAATACCTACGAGCTCAGCCTCATGTGTCTGCCGTTTCTGGTTCAGCATACCAGGATCAATAAACATCGTTAACAACAACGAAAGTACAGTTAATGGTAACTCGTAGTTGCTGAAGAAGAACAGAAATTTAAAACTTGTATTTGGGGTGGAGAGGCGAGACAAGAAAAAAGTTTGATGCTTAGTTACAAATCTAGTCAATCCACTGCCATAAAAACATAAAAATGTGGTATCCAAGGCCGATCAATAAAATACAGTATGCCAGTTGTACCTTGAGAGCAAAAAGATTGAACCAATGCCAGTTCTTACATTATGAAACCTTCACAACAGAGTTAACTGATCTCGATAAATAAACAACGGGGGCTAGTGTATTTGTACGTGTAAGTATACTTTACTATATAGTAAGTGTAAGTATATACTGTATATATTAACAGATACATTGAACACGAGTCCCGTTTAGGTAATGATATTTAATTAGTGTTACCTATTAATAAAAAGATTGTAGTGAATTAAAGTTTTAATTTAAACCAAACTGAAAACGATGTCGAACAGAGTAATCCTTGACGATGAATCTCAGAACCCGACAAATTAGACGTGAAATATGGAGTTAATTTCAGAAATCTCTATTTTAATCTCCCTGGATTGCAATTTGGCAAATGAAACTTCAATTTAAGACAACATTAGGGCTTGACGATATTTTCTTCGACGCAAAATATTTGCAAGACAGCATTTGATATTTGTTCACTTATTTTTGAGGAAACTGTAGACGTACTAAAGTCTGGTTCCTGCAACGCCCGTGAAATGGTGCCTTTCACGGGCGTTGACATTAAAAGCGTCCTTAAACTTGATGTCCCATTTAGGTGTTAACCCTTCTTGTTAAGAATGTAGTAGTCGTTACGTATTTGTTATAGCATAACTAAAAAAACATAATAGAAAGGCATATGCGAAATAGAACTGACTACACAAACGCTGTATTAAATTTTATTCTTGATTGTCAATAAAATTGATTGGCATCAATTAGTGCCGGCAGTTAAACGCAGTTTATGAGATTTTTACAGCATCTTTATTCTCCAGAAGATCAATTCAAAGCTGGGCCGTGCGGCGCATCCTAATTGATTTGCGAGAAAAAAATCATTATTATTACGCTTGAAAAAGTCAAGTAACAAAAAAACATTCCATTCCTTTTATTTAACAACGCAACGAACGAACACAAGACTATTTTTGGAATGACATGTTCGCTAAATTATCCTCTTTTTTGTTTAATAATCGCGAAAATCGATTCGTATTTTCATTCAGAATTTTATATTGTATGTACGCCGTAATGTTTACGGGCTTCTTGAGCTGCTGGGCAAAATGCATGACGGCTATCCTATTGACTTCGTATGCGTTAATAACTTATAGCTGTACTGACGACACGGTTTTGCTCAGCGCATCAGCTTATGGCTTACGAAAATTATTGCTTGTGTGTGCGGATTACGCCGTCCAACACGGGTTGAATGTAATCTATTAAAAAGTTAATACATGGTGTTTGAACCGGGCTGTAATCGTACATTTCAAGTGTGTCCCATCAAACTGAATGGTGTTCCATTAGAAAGAGTGAGAACTTTTAAATATTTAGGACATGTTGTTACGGCTGATCTGAAGGATAACATGGACATCGATCGGGAACGGAGCGTTCTATCAGTGAGAGCTAGAGATTATGATCTCCCGTAAATACGCATCGAGCTTGTGGGGCCCTCCGGACCTTTTTTTTATGATACAAGTGACGGGACGAACCACCCATCTGAACCGGAACGCGGTACTGCTTGGCGGCAGAAATTGGTCAGGTGGCAGTACGCTTTGGGCGAAGTCTTTTACAAGGAGTTCTACTGCTACTAAATGAGACGCAGTATAATGATATGTTCTGGTGCTGGTGGGCTGGTGGCTGCCCTGCTGCCGTGCGCGTGAGGGATGTTTGTAGAAGTAAGAGTGAACTGAGAAAGCAAAGCACTTCCCTGGCGCCGGCGCCAACCCCATCCAGTTCGTACTGTTCGTACACGAGACACTGTTGTCAATTGCATGTAGCCAGCAGTGGTTATTGTGTATAATTGTGTACCCTACAAATATTAGCGTTAAGTAGTTTACTAATTGTATGCGTCGATGTTTCTTGAAACAAATAAATAATTATTATTATTACGTTCCAATTCACGTCCGTTATTGTTGTAAAACGCGAATGGTTGCTGTGTCAATATTTAATATCGCAACCATTAATGTAATAAGGCCACATCTGCGAAATTACAACTTTTCAAGACAGAGGTTTAAATGTTCTACGACGAAATTATGGAGTTATAGAATTTCATATACACTTACATTTAGAGAATTTCTTTCATGTAGTTCGTATCATTTTTTGACTTTCATGTGATAAAACTTTTGACGTATTTATTTATTTATTTAAATATACCATCGGCACATACATAGAGGAACTTGCACTGTATTAGCATATATTTTTTTATACAGTATGTTGTACCATCACAGGCGTATACAGTGCGTAATTACTATAAGATAACATAAAAAAACTTTAATTTAAAAAGAAATAAAAATTATGTATAGAAAAGAAAAGAAAACTGCTGTCTAAAAGATTATCAAACAAAACCCCTAAACCCAGTTGTGACATGTCAACTTTGTCTGTCGTCACATTATTGAAAGTTCTCATGCCACGGTAAAATGGAGGAAAATGGACCACAGTACGAGATACTGGAACCGAAAATATATTTCGTGCTGCGTAACGTGGAAGCCTTCTGGGTATAGCCAAATTAACTTGAGATATTATTCGGGGCGTGTCGAGCTGGCTATATGGCTATATATACTTTGCAGAGAAAAGTTCTTAATAAATAATAAAAGACCTTATAGGGAAGAGAAGACGCGTGACCACTTGTGATTATATTGTACCAAGAATGCAAAATACTCATCTAACGTGTTTTTAACCGGGAATCTTGCTTAAGAAGCACGAGGCGACTTTGTTTTATTTAATGCTCTTTTTATTATTGATTTTTAATAAACAAAAAACGGGAAGTTGTAGCGGAATAACATATTTAATGACATTACGATTAAGTGAAAACGATCACAAAACTAAGTTTACGATTATGTGCCGACAACTGTAGTTTATAGCCACCGTTAAACTCAACCGTTAAGTTAACTACATGTTAACTACTGTAACGTCGAGACATGATTATGACAAATTTTACTGTATTGTTTTATTTCGGGGAATAGTTAAACGTAAATAAAACAATAGTGGTAGATAATGCTCACTTTGTTGCCTACACTGTATTTGTAGCGTCACTGCTGAAGCTATTTCAGACATAGTGAACTGCTGGGCACGGTTCTTTCCGAAATGATGGATTTGCCATTAAAGCGATGACCTCGGAGCTAAAATTTTGGCGGTCTCTCTGCTTTACTAATGGGGGCAAATAAACTGAACCACCGCTGTTTTTACGCTGATTAGTTTTGTTATAAAGGTTTCGTAACGTCAGAACCGTCAAGGCGTCAATCTGTTTGCTCCTAATGCATAACTATATTATGATTTGGTACTTTAGATACATTTTGTATTATTTTTATACTTAGTCGCCGCGAGTCATTCCGTGAACTAATAATCTCGTCTGAAATGCACGTCATTTTCTACATGCCAATAGCCTTTAGCAATTTCGGAGCGAGCTATTTCAGCAATGAACTGCTCCGGACACTTCTAGCGACCGAACGTTATCGCCTTTGACATAAAACATCTAGAAAAATACAATCCATCAAAATACTTAATACTAGCCAATATGTGTGTACAAACACGCGTAATATTGTTGATCTACTAGATTGAACATATCTGCGACCCCCCCCCCCCCCTCCCCACACCTATTGTGTGAGAGGGGGATGTTTGCATTGTAAATAGTTCGGGTAATTCGTGCCGGCCTTGCCATTGAGAGTTACGCGTAGTGTGACAGCAAATACAGAAATATTCGTAAATGTATGAAACGTAGAAATTAAAATCGTAAATGCATATCGTGACAGGGATTCGAACACATTTCAATGGAGAAATAACCGCTCTTCGAAAAGTCCAGCACCGCTCTTTCTCGCTCTCTTAGCCTGTTCCACAGGTGGGCAACAAAACAACTAGCAACTTAACGTCCCGTCTGTCAGTATTATGTAAATTACGTTATTCAACGAGCAAAGATTGTACCATTGGTTTAGTACACTATTTGTTCAAACTTCAATCAAGTAATGGACTCAACACAAATGTGATACAACCCACTCACGAACAACATAATCAGGCAGCTAACATAATATGCTTTTGCTAAGGTTGAAATAACATCTAAAATGGCTCTATTGTTATATATAAATAAGTATAGCAGTAGAGCTCCTTGTGAAAGAGTTCGTCCAGTGTACTTCCCGGGACGAACGCTTCCACGCTGCACGTAGTTACGTACAACAATATAGTTAATTTAGATGTTATGTGCTTCGCTTGCACAATCCACTCTTACTTCTACCATCCCTGACACGCTTTAGAAGTGGGGCAGCCCTCCGGCACCAGGAACGCGTTTATATACTGAGTCTGATTTAGTAGCAGTAGAGCTCCTTGTGAAAGAGTTCACCCAAAGAAGTACTGCCAGCTTACTTATTTCCGCCGCCAAGTAGTAATGTGAGCTTACTGTGTTCCGGTTTTGAAGGGTAAGGGTGCTGGTGAAATTACTTATGTCGCAAGGTGAAGGATGCAGCGGCAGTGTCCTTCAGATCTTTGCGATTTAAAGCTCTGAGTGGCGCTGCAACTGTCATAGTCACTTGTTCCTCTCGTCACTTGGTGTCACAAAAAGGGGTACCTGTAAATAAGTTTCACTTCTAGAAAAAACTAAACAGAGTTGGTAAAAAAAGGTAAAAACGGAGTTTTTAAATTTAGGCACTTAATAATAAAATAAAATCTAGGTATTTTTATCTTCTTTTAAACAAATTAACTTTTGTTACAACAGTTACCGGCAACATCCTGGAAGAGCTTGCTAAAGGCACGAAACGCTCGGCCGTGTGGGCGTCCAAGCCCCAGGACATCCCGACGAAGACCTCCAACTTTGCCAAGGACATCCTCTTGTTCCCGGATAAGTCCAAAGATGTAGGTGGTCTCAACGTTTGTAGCGTTTACATACATTGTACTTTAAAGCGCGAGTGTTTGTAGGAAATTCCAAGTGTACGTTGGTTTCGTAAAGACTAGGTCGCAAATGTATTAGTATTCTTTTCGATCTAGTTCTTATAGCACCAACTTTGGTTTGGATGCCATGCAGGCGATATTGGTGGCGTTGCTGGAAGGGTATATTCACTAGCGGACCAGCAGTGCCACAAAATGCATTGCTGTCATCAGCGTCCAGCACGTACATGACACGGGCAAGTGTTAAACCAATAAAAAAAAAAAAAATATGTGATTAATATCCCGAATTGAAATACCCTTTATTTTTGAGCCGTAAAGCTCACGCTTTGTAAAGCGTTTTGCCAACCATTTTACACGTGCAGCTTGCGGGTCACGTACACATAGAAAGCTTCTCACGCCCTGCGGTTCAGTGTAATGACACTCTTAGAATGCTGTTGGGGTTGTTACTGTAGCAACCCCAACTGCATGACTCGGGAATATTCTCTACAACGCGCGGGTACGACTTAAGCGCCATACCGCTAAAGAGAGTAGCGTCTCTGACGCGTAGGGCGCGAGGCAGCGCCAACGGCCTCCTTCGGCCTTGGCCGAGAGGGAAGATGGGCCAATATTGTGTCAATGGGTAGTTGCACATGTCGAGTGTGTTAGAACTGTCGTTGGATAGTTCGTAATGTAATTTACTGCTTGTGAGTTTTACTAATATAGTTTGTAAGGATTACTTAACACAATATAGATATTTGTCTGAAATAAAGTAAATTGCTATCATTATAGAAGTCCAGAGAAATCGATAATGAATGGTGGCTCTAAGAAGATTGAAGGAAGTTCGCGAATTTGGTACACTTCGCTGTTTTAAATGATGTACTGTACTATGGAAGCGCGTTTCAAACTTCTTTATTTCAACTGTTTTGTTTACACATGTAACTGTGCATGCCTGCTTCACTAGTCTCTCCATTATTGCGCCAAGGGGCGGCCGCAGTCAAAGCGTGTGGGCGCAGGTGCGAATTCATGCAACCTCATATGAAAACCGCCGGGGCGCTGTGTATTATTATCCTAAAACGAGCTAATACGGAAAACATTACTGTAATAAAGCGTTTTGTGTTATTCATTGCAGCCACAACGTAAATTCACACGCACCGAGGTGGCCGCGTGCGAC